TTTCCACAGTTTATTGTGATCTACACAGTCAAAGGCTTTGGAATAGTCAATAAAGCAGAAATAGATGTTTTTCTGGAACTCTTGCTTTTTTGATGATCCAGTGGATATTGGCAATTTGATCTCTGGTTCCTCTGCCTTTTCTAAAACCAGCTTGAACATCTGGAAGTTCTCGGTTCACGTATTGTTGAAGCCTGGCTTGGAGAATTTTGAGCATTACTTTACTAGCATGTGAGATGAGTGCAATTGCGCAGTAGTTTGAGCATTCTTTGGGACTGCCTTTCTTAGGGATTGGAAAAGGTCACTGGACTGACCTTTTCCAGTCCTGTGGCCACTGCTGAGTTTTCCAAATTTGCTGGCATATTGAGTGCAGCACTTTCACAGCATCATCTTTCAGGATTTGAAATAGCTCAACTGGAATTCCATCACCTCCACTAGCTTTTTCGTAGAGATGCTTTCTAAGGCCCACTGGGCTTCACATTCCAGGATGTCTGGCTCTAGGTGAGTGATCACACCATTGTGATTATCGGCTCATGAGGTGTTATCAAATTCATACTTGGAAAGTTTTTAAAAGTGTCCACAGAAATATTTACAGTTGTTGCTGTAAATACAAAGTAAAGAAGAAACTTCGAGCAATCATCCTAATGATTCAATTAGTTTGCCTTAATTACCTGGGTCTTTTGTTTGTGGTTATCTCTAACCTCAGCTAGTCACATATAAAAGTAAACGCTCAGAAAAGTCAGTGTTCTCTATGGTAACAGCTGTTTAGCTGAATTCTGAACTTGACTGTCAGTGGTAAGATGCTGAGCTGCACTGCTACACAACCTGTGATTAACTTGCTCACTTGGAAAGCAGCTCAGATTAACTTTCCCAAGAACAACACAGAGGTCTGGGTCAAGAATTCACATCCTTTTTGGTAGATCCTAGCATTTTCTTGTTGATGGTTGTACAGCAGTTAGTTGTGATTTTGGTATTTTCATAAGAAGGGGGTGACCTTCTACTCTGCCACCTTGAGCTAATCTCTAGATGACTTCTTCTGTACAGTGATAGATGCTCAAAACAGATGAAGACCAAATTTTTGATATTGTTACTATTTTAGTTCTGACATTTTTGATATTTTTTCTTACTGCTAATTAAACCAGGAAATAAATTTACCTTTTTATACTATAATATTTTATTGTTCTGTACTTTAAATTGTCTGCCTATATTGAAGTGGACTTTTTGTTCTGGTATTCTGTAAAACAGAGATTTTATACTCATTTCCTTTATCTCACTTTCAAAGGAAATATTAACGTACACTATATCATTTTTAGATTAGGCTAAACTGTTAAAAAACACTAAAGTGTACTTAAAAAATAAACAGTTTTAAACAATGTGTACTTACTAAAAAAGCTTTTCTTAATTATATGAAAATGAGATTCATATCTAAAAAAAGAATTCGTATCTTTTTCTGCTTCTTTAGTGATTCAACCTGCAGCCTCTAGTTGGGCAGAGGCTCTAACTACAGTAGAACCTCCCACCCAGCACCATTCAGCAGAGCGGTGGGAACGCCTGGCACGTGACTGCAAGGGATGGTTTCAGGGTGAAGAAGGAACACATACCTGCTTGTTGGAACAGATGAAGGTCATACTTAGACTGTGGCACTTAGAGAAACCTCTCTTCCTTGGCCTGAAGCTAAATGTTGGTCCAGACTGATTCTATTGGAGCATTTGTAGGTCAGGCTGCCTGGCTGGCAAATACTGCTACATAGTCTTTGAAATTTTAGTATATCTTTTTGTTTTTTAACTATTCACAGTGATAAGATTCTTTCATACAGGAATAGTGCTGGATGGGTGGGATAGATTGTCCAATGTCAATCTTTTCTCCTCAGACTGAGTCACAGCCACTGAATTCACTCTCTCCCTCTGTGCCCCACACTCATGTCCAACACTTGGCCTCACTCACTCTATGCTCCCTCCTCCCATAATATACATCTCCATCTCTTATTCTCTTTTATATCTGCAATCCTTTTGAAATCAGATCTTCTCTTTACTCATAACCTTCCTTGATTAATGTGATTGTGTGCCTCTGGACTGGGTATACAGTGCAACTGTGGGTTTTCAGGTACAGGCCATTTTTCTTCCCCTACAGATTGAACTATGAGCTTTCACACTGAGGCAATCACACTGCAGATTAGCGGGTCAAGATCCCAGGTATGTGTGAGACCTCTGTTGTGAAGCAGGCCTAGGTTTTAGTCCTGATTCTGACACTTACTCTATATGCAAGGCTTTTAGACCCTAAAAGCCTCTGTTTTCTCATTTCTAAAATGAGAATAGTAATAATAGTTACCTTATACAGCTGTTGTAAGTGTTGTTTGCTGTTGTTCAGTTGCTTAGTCATATCCGACTCTTTTGTAACTGCATGGGCTGTCAGGCTCCTCTGTCCATGGGATTTCCCAGGCGAGAATACTGGAGTGGGTTGCCATTTCCTTCTCCAGGGGATCTTCCTGACCCAGGGATTGAACAGCATCTCCTGCTTGGCAGGCAGATTCTTTACCACTGAGCCACCAGGGAAACCCATGGTAAGCATTAAGTTATATTAAATTACATAGAGCAGAGAAAGCATTTATCACAGTACTTAGCAGATGGTGGGTGTTTAGTAAGCACTTCTTATAGTTGTATTAAGTCCCATTTCTTTACTTGGTTGCAGTCTCCTTGAGGTCAGATGCATTTTCTCTCTCTTAATCCCTGGCAGTTTTAAGCAGACAGTGGATTCTGGTAATTAATTTTATACACCTAGTAAAATTGTATTGAATTTGTATTATTTCTCAATTTCAGAGTAAGAACAGCAGAAAGTAAAACAGGCCGGGGAGCAGGCAGGCTTGGCCCTCAGGGAGAAGCTGTGTGGTCAGAGTATCAGACATCACTGTTCTGTCCTCCTCCTGGGACCCGAAGTCCAGAACGCTCCAAATCGCAGAGAAGAAGTATGAGATAGAACAGTTTGGGTAAACACATTTAAATTTCTTAATCACCTAATTGTAAAAGGTTAAGCAGATTCAACATGAACACATGATTTAAAGCCAGTGGTCTTGAGACTTTTGAAGGATGGTTGTGCTTTGACCATCCTTTGCCAATATGCCTTGAATTAAGAAACTCTTGCTGGAATTCTTAAACCCTTTCTTAATATGCTTGGTTTCTCTTTTCATCTTCCAATTAAAAGGAAATGAGAGGAGATGCCAATTCAGCTGCCCTTTGAAGGAAATATGTTGACCTCAGGACATCTAATTTGAATAATAACATGTATCACTTTGCCTTTTGAGGGAGCCCACCATCATGCCTGTTGCATTTCCTAAAACTTACATCTTGTCAAGTCAATCCAACTTAAAAATCAGTCCAATTCACCAACTGTTACCTGGTGAGCTTGGTCACCATGCAGCTGCTAGTGCTTTAGGTGGCTAGAGTGCTTAGGAATCTAAATATCTTCTGTAGAATCTTCTAGAATCAAGCCCATTTGCCGTCATAGAGTGCTCCTTGGCATGGAGGCCAGTCTCTTGCATGGCACAACACACAAGTATTTTGCATTTAGGTTATTTTAATTCATAGGTAATGCATTTGGTATGAGTTTGATTTTTACAGTTTCTGATTCAAATACTGTCAAGAAACATTTGAAAACAGACCTTTTCTGTATCACTAAATAACTTTGCAATTAAGTAATAACCATAAATACAAAAATCACCTAATATAAAATCTCAGCTAAATTTTTGGATCTGGTTACATAAAGGTATTTTGATGTAAACTAAATCAAAGTTGGGGCTAACCAGATTCTCTGTGACCATTTTATCTTTAAAATAAAATTTTGCATATGAAGCCTCTCTTTATTGAGTTTAAAGAAGCACTTCCAGTCAATGCCCAGCATCATCTAAATATTGATAGTCTTTGTAGCTGAAGTGTGAACCTTCATTTCTTTCTTTTAGTTGTTCTAGATTACATAATACATACATAATAGCAACCTCTTGGTAAATGTTCATGAATGCAAATTCTTGTTTTATATATTTTGAGAGGAGGGTAGTATATACTGAGAATAACAGATAAGCATTTGCAAGTTCTGTCAACACATTTTTTTTCCTTTCCATCTGATGCCAAATTTGGGAAATCACCTATAAAGATCCTTGGAAATGGTACAAAATTGTGCTATCATTGGACCAAATAATGACAATTATCTGTGGCTCTGATGCTTATCCAATAAAAGGTTCTTATTTGGTCAACATCTTTTTAGTCACAATAAAAAGTACAACTTAAAGAACTTTTAAGTGTCTATACTGGTTGCAAAATAAAACAGGACAAGTATTTCATATGCACGTGTGCACATACACACACACACACACACACACACACACACACACACACCACACACTGAACTATGTTTCCAAGGTTCAGTGAAGGCAGCACTTTTTCACTGGTAACATATCCAAAGAGATGAATCGGAAAATTTAGGAACGATTTAACACCACTTTGCACAGACAATATCAATCCTATTTTGTGGGGACTAAGAAGGGTGGATGATTAAACAGTATTCTCTAAATGGCAAGGGATTATTTTTCTCTAAATTCAAGTCTGGAAGTCACCATCAGGGGGTCCATGGAACAGGCAAGAAGATGCCTTAAGTGACCATCAGGGGAAATAACAGTGCAGTGTGTCTGCCCTGCCAGCTGAAACGATCCCCAGACAGACACTACATGGTAGTCACACCATCACAATAGTTCGACCCAAGAAAGCAGTTTATGAAAAAAAAGCACCAAACAATTGGCTGTAATTTTCATCATAATCTGCAATCTTTAACCTGAATAATGAATTTAACCACCAAAAATATTAAATAGTAGAATTCCAAATGATAGGATGACCCAAGTTATCTTTGAACTTTTTCTTTTTTAAAAGCTGGTCACAGTGGCACTTAAAAAAATAAATCAGAAAATAATATGGCTTCAAGTGGACGAATAAATATGAATTTTTAAGAAAGTCTCTGCATTATCTATTGCTTTCCTCTTGATTTGACTCCATTGATAATTTCTCCCCAAGTTTTCTAATAAGTTCTGCCAGGTCTTCTGAATTCTGAGTTTTTTCTTCAAGAAGTTCATAGCGGAGGCTTGAGATGTCTTGTTTAATTTCTTTCAGTTCCCCTTTGAAAAACAAGAGTGATAAGAAGTCAATTGTAAATATGTAATGCAGAGAAAGTAGTGATTCTGTATAGATCAAAATCTTTTTTAATTCTACACACATCTGTATTTTGAATCTTTTCAAAGGAAATCACTCTTAATGGGGGCAGATTTCTATTTTCTCAGCTAAGTATTTTGGGTAATGAAAAGATTATAGAGAAAACTTGTAATGAAAGTCCTCCTAAAATAACTGAAATGGAAACATTGGCAACAAATGTTACAGGGTTTGGGGGCAATGGACCCTCACTTTGCCCACCCACTTATTTCTCCCTTCAAGTGTGAGTGAAAGCGTTAGTCACTCAGCTGTGTCCAACTCTTTGCAACCCCATGAAGGCTACTCTGTGCATGGGATTCTCCAGGCAAGCATACTGGCATGGGTTGCCATGCCCTCCTCCAGGGAATCTTCCTGACCCAGGGATTGAACCCGGTCTCCTGCACTGCAGGCTGATTCTTTACTGTCTGAACTACCAGGGAAGCCCTCTCCCTCTAAAGCCCCCCACAAAAATAGTACAGTCTGCTTTCCTTGTCTGCAGGTTCCATATTTGAAAAACGAAGGATAGACTGGAATACAATACTTACTCCTTTTTTATATAAGGAACTTGGTATTGACACAGGTCCTAGAACCAGTCTCCCAGAAATACTAAGGGATGACCATAGTTACTTATCTAGCCAATGGCATCTGCCCTATGGAGAAATAGCCTCTATTTCCCCAGCATGAGGCAGTGCCGATGCCTAGTGAGATGCAGTCTTCTCCCCTTGAAGCCCACCCTTCCCACGCCCACCTCTCCAGCTCTCCCTCAGCTCGGCTTCAGGCCCCAGGTCCTGGCTCACGCTCACGAGCTGACTTCAACTCACCTTCGTTCACTTCGTCACTCTCCTTGTCTATCTGGGCTTGTAATACATATCTTTTAATGAGCCTCTTCATTATTTTCTAGACAGGGAAAGGAGAAATCCATCTTAGTTTTATGTTCATGACCAATCTCTCATTTGGAGTAAGCTTCTGAATCTTTCTCTCTTTAGTGAATACTCTGAAGTGATAGCTATGAAAGATTAAGATTATTTATCTGATAGGGAATGTATACAATCTACAGATTTTAAAGTAAATTTTCACATCACCAGGGCCAATGACTCAAAAGTTAATTTGTGAGAAAAGAGTAAGTTTAGAGCAAACGTTCAATCCTTAATGTTCATTGTTTGCATTTTACATGAAAAATGTTAGAACAAGACACAGCCTTTCAGCTGGGCAGGTCAAAGGTATGCAGTTTTGTCTCTGGGAATGGAAAGTTAAGTAAATGTGCCTCATTTATGGATATTCCCCTCCATTACCAAGAAATATAGCCAGTTTTGATTGTATACTTCCTAATAATTTAGGAATGGCTAGTTTCAATGTAATAATATTTCTGCAGCACTTGACTTCTACCACGAGGATGCTGCTTTTACTATATCAGTTCAGTTCAGTCGCTCAGTCATGCCCGACTCTTTGTGACCCCATGAATCACAGCACCCAGGCCTCCCTGTCCATCACCAACTCCCGGAGTCCACCCAAACTCATGTCCATTGAGTCAGTGATGCCACCCAGCTATCTCATCCTCTGTGGTCCCCTTCTCCTCCTGCCCCCAATCGCTCCCAGCATCAGGGTCTTTCCCAATGAGTCAACTCTTTGCATCAGGTGGCCAAAGTATTGGAGTTTCAGCTTCAATATCAGACCTTCCAATGAACACCCAAGACTGATCTCCTTTAGGGTGGACTGGTTGGATCTCCTTGCAGTCCAAGGGACCCTCAAGAGTCTTCTCCAACACCACAGTTCAAAAGCATCAATTTTTCGGCTCTCAGCTTTCTTCACAGTCCAGCTCTCACATCCATACATGACCACTGGAAAAACTATAGCCTTGACTAGACGGACCTTTGTTGGCAAAGTAATGTCTCTGCTTTTAAATATGCTGTCTAGGTTGGTCATAACTTTCCTTCCAAGGAGTAAGTGTCTTTTAATTTCATGGCTGCAATCACCATATGCAGTGATTTTGGAGCCCCCAAAAAATAAAGTCTGCCACTGTTTCCCCATCTATTTCCCATGAAGTGATGGGACAGATGCCATGATCTTAGTTTTCTGAATGTTGAGCTTTAAGCCAACTTTTTCACTCTCCTCTTTCACTTTCATCAAGAGGCTCTTTAGTTCCGCTTCACTTTCTGCCATAAGGGTGGTGTCATCTGCATATCTGAGGTTATTGATATTTCTCCCGGCAATCTTGATTCCAGCTTGTGCTTCTTCCAGCTCAGCATTTCTCATGATGTACTCTGCATAGAAGTTAAATAAGCACGGTGACACTATAAAGCCTTGACAGATTCCTTTTCCTATTTGGAACCAGTCTGTTGTTCCATGTCCACTTCTAATTGCTTCTTCCTGACCTGCATACAGGTTTCTCAAGAGACAGGTCAGATGGTCTGATATTCCCATCTCTTTCAGAATTTTCCACAGTTTATTGTGATCCACACAGTCCAAGGCTTTGCCATAGTCAATAAAGCAGAAATAGATGTTTTTCTGAAACTCTCTTGCTTTTTCTATGGTTCAATGGATGTTGGCAATTTGATCTCTGGTTCCTCTGGCTTTTCTAAATCCAGCTGGAACATCTGGAAGTTCTTGGTTCACGTATTGCTGAAGCCTGGCTTGGAGAATTTTGAGCATTACTTTGCTAGCATGTGAGATGAGTGCAACTGTGCGGTAGTTTGATCATTCTTTGGTATTGCCTTTCTTAGGGATTGGAATGAAAACTGACCTTTTCCAGTCCTGTGGCCACTGCTGAGTTTTCCAAATTTGCTGGCATATTTAGTGCAGCACTTTCATAGCATCATCTTTCAGGATTTGAAATAGCTCAACTGGAATTCCATCACCTCCACTAGCTTTGTGTGTAGTGATGCTTCCTAAGGCCCACTTGACCTCACATTCTAGGATGTCTGGCTCTAGTTCAGTGATCACACTATCATGATTATCTGGGTCATGAAGATCTGTTTTGTACAGTTCTTCTGTGTATTCTTGCCACCTCTTCTTAGTATCTTCTGCTTCTGTTAGGTCCCACACCATTTCTGTTCTTTATTGAGCCCATCTTTGCATGAAATGTTCCCTTGGTATCTCTAATTTTCTTGAAGAGATCTCTAGTCTTTCCCATTCTGTTGTTTTCTCTATTTCTTTGCATTGATTGCTGAGGAAGGCTTTCTTATCTCTCCTTGCTATTCTTTGGAACTCTGCATTGAGATGGGAATATCTTTCCTTTTCTCCTTTGCTTTTCACTTCTTTTCTTTTCACAGTTATTTGTAAGGCCTCCTCAGACAGCCATGTTGCTTTTTTGCATTTATTTTCCATGATGGTCTTAATCCCTGTCTCTTGTACAATGTCACAAACCTCCATCCATAGTTCATCAGGCAGTCTGTCTATCAGATCTAGTCCCTTAAATCTATTTCTCACTTCCACTGTATAATCATAAGGGATTTGATTTAGGTCATTCCTGAATGGTCTAGTGGTTTTCCATACTTTCTTTAAGTATGAATTTGGCAATAACTCCTTATTAACTCCTTTACTATATACTTTTTATAAATAATAAGAGGCTCAGCACATACGTAGGAAGTCCTGAGTGGATGCATATACAGGAAAACCAAACCTTACTACCTAAGCCCAAAATTAAATGATAGACAGTAAAGTCCCACTTTCAAGAACTTATTCTAAGGATGTAATTAAGTATACAAACAAGTCTGTTCATAGCAGTACTACTTATAATAGTGGAAAAAATAAACCCTAAATGTCCATCAATAGGGGATTATTTATTTGTACAAAGGAATACAGTACCTCCATTAAAATTAATATGAATATATGCTTTGCAAAGTAAAAAGCTATTACTCATTATATATTATTAACTCATTTAGATAACACTGCATATTTGTTGCTGTTGCTGTTTAGTCACTAAGTTATGTCCGACTCTTTTGTGATGCTGTGGAGTGTAGCCCTCCAGGCTTCTCTGTCCAGGCAAAAATAATGGAGTGAGTTGCCATTTCCTTCTCTAGCGGATCTTTCCAACCCAGGGATCAAACCAGCATCTCATGCATTGGCAGGTGGATTCTTTACCACTGAGCCTCCAGGGAAGCCCAATGTTGTATAAATGTTTCTATAATAGTATTAAAATGTATGTAAAATTATATACATACATATAATCATCTGGCAGAATATTCACAAAAGGTAAGTAGTCTTAATTTCTCAGTAATAGGGTTTGAGGTGACTTTTACTCTCTTCTTTATACTTTTGTAATATAGTCTTGATACAATAAACATGTAGGGTCTAAGTTCCATGATGGCAAGATTTCATCTATTTTATTTACTTCTATATCTCTAGTACTTAGTACATGGTATGTGGTAGTTAATAAATATTTTTTGTACTAGTGCATTATTACTGAAAAAATATCATAACAGGTCATTATCCTTTCAATAATTGCATAATGTGAGTTTCTAAATATTACAAATAACTAGTCTTATTTCTTTAAAACCTCATGCTTACCTGATATTGTCTTGGAGGATTAGTGAAACTGTTTAACTGGAAATCTTCTGAGCTCCTTATACTTGATTGTTTACTATGTGCAAACTGTAATTTGAAAAGAATTAGAAATTGATTCTTATTTAATTTTTAGATGATGTGATAGCATTTATCTCAGTTACATATGTGATAGTTACATATATGAATTAATAGTCATATACATAAATAATCCTTTCTATATGTGTAGTGCCATTTTAACTTAATTTGCTTAATATTCTGTCTTCTAACACAAATCATAGATGTCTTAGGTGTGTTCAGTCTCTTGGTGGCTATTAGAGGTTGTCTAAGGACTGTCTTAGACTTTGTGGCTGTCAATCATGCTGTCATGGGAGTCATGCTTTAACATTCCCACAATTGTATCCTTGTAGAGGAAGAGACAAACACATTGAGAAAATAATAGTGGTGATCTCAGGAGTCCACTGGTGAGGGAGCCACAGTCCAGCATGACTGACAACACCATCTGCACATGCAGCAGACTGTGATGAGACTCCTGAGGAAACACCAGGAGACAACTTTGTTGAGGGATAGGATCCAGCTGTCAAGAAAGCACTAATAAATCTATTTGAATTTTAGGATCTATATAATATCCTATCTGGGCAGCACTTTTCAAATAATACATATGCTTGAAGAGGCAAAGAACAAAGAAAGCAATCTGCAAGAGAGCTGGTAAAGCACCGTATTAATATGCTAAGAGAAAGATTAGAAACCTCTTTAACACATTTTCTAAAGGGAAAATGGCCTTACAAAGACATAAATAGGAGAAACTGAACAAAACACAGAATCTCCAGATATATATTTTGCAGGGTGCAAAATTTTTTCAGGGGTAAAGAAACTTCAAGACCATTTACTAAGACAGCCATGATTTCTATTTCCCAGTGATATCTACGTTGTTAGAGCTTGGTTGCTTCAGTTGTGTCCAATTCTTTGTGACCCCATAGACTGTAGCCCACCAGGCTCCTCTGTCCATGGGATTCTTCAGGCAAAAACACTGGAGTGGGTTGCCATTGCCTCCTCTGTTAGAAGTGAAGTGAAAGTGAAAAGTGAAAGTGAAAGTCGCTCAGTCATGTCCAGCTGTTTGCCACCCCACTGGACTATACGGTCCATGGAATTCTCCAGGCCAGAATTCCGGAGTGGGTAGCCTTTCCCTTCTCTAGGGGATCTTCCCAACATAGGGATCAAACCCAGGTCTCCTGCATTGCAGGTGAATTCTTTACCAACTGAGCTATCAGGAAAGCCCAATGAAATTCAACTAAAATCCTTAACTCCAGTTCTTTGATGCTGTAGATGGCCACACATTGAAGTAAAGCAGCTATGCACACATTCATCCAATAAACAGGTATTTTATGAGCGTCTTCTATATGTAAAGTACTGTGCTATGTCCTGGGTGTTTAATGAAGAACATAAATAATTATCTAGCTGAGTTATAATAATAGGAAAAATATGGCAATGCTGACAAGATTCATAAAAATATATATAATTGTGAAGATATTCTTTAGATAACATCCTTTTTCATGTAGCTATTTCCCTTTCTCTTTCACCATTTCTAAAAATGTCAAGAAAATACCCGTATTTTTTTAACTTGATATCAACTTTTAAAAAAATGAGATAAAATTATACAATTGACCAGATTAACCAGAGAGATGGCTTAGGTTCTGTAGAACTCTTGACAAAAGCCTGAAAACGCAAATCTGGTTCTGCCTTCAGGTTAGCCATGGAACACTAGGTGAGAAGCTGAAATCCTATGATCTCTCCTGATAGTTAAGAGAATGCCCTAGTTAATCTCTGGAGTCCTTCAAACCCCATTAATTTATGAATTTGTGAGACAAATGCAAACTTCAGCATATTTTAACATTTAATTCATTTGCAAATAACATAATCATTAATTTTTATAATGATATAAAATGGGATGATATCAACATATAATATTAGATATGATTCCTGAATTTCAAACTGTGACTTATTCTTTAAAGACATCATTAAACATGATGACCAGAGTCAAGCTCACGTCCACCCCTCAGTGTTTAAGATAAAGCACGGAGGGTGAGGACAGGTTCATAACCAGAGGGAAAGGATCCAGACAAAGGGAATTTTGGGGCATCATGGCCATCTACTTATGAACACCTAGCCTCATGGTGGCAAGTTATTAATTTAATGTTTTCTTTTGTTAGAGGCCACGAACACATCCAAATGGTGTTCATGGAAATAATAAAGTGAAAATTTATACTTCTTTGAGATTATTTTAGAGATGAATGTGTGGATTTTAGTACATGATGACAAATTAAAGCAGCTCCACAACACAACACACCCATGGCAATAATCCTTTTTTGAAAACTTAATAACCACACAGGTGTCTTTCACTTGCTCTTTTCTGACTTAAGGCCTTTGAATTTGTTGTTCCCAATTCCCAAAACATTATCTTCCTGAGTTTTTGCCTGACTCGCTTGCTTTGTCTGATCCTCTGGAGTTGAGATCAACATATAAGCTCCTCAGATGGCTTTCTCTGCCCACCCCATGAAAGCAGATCTTGAGAAAGCTAGGCCTTTTGTATCCTTTGTGCTCTGTGAATGCTAAGTTGCTTCAGCCGTGTCTGACCCCTTGTGACCCAAAGGACTCTTGCACACCAGGCTCCGCTGTCCATGGAATTCTCCAGGCAAGAATACTGAAGTGGGTTGCCCACCAGGGGATCTTCCCAACCCAGAGATTAAACCCATGTCTCTTATTTCTCCTTAATTGGCAGGCAGGTTCTTTACCACTAGCGCCACCTAAGAAGCCTCTTGTATCCTTCATAACATGCCAGTTGCTTTATTCATTGGCTTGTTTACATGGTTATTATCTACATCCTCCTGGGCTCCACAGAAGGAGGGACTTTGTTTAGTTCACCTCAGTGTCCCCAGAGCCATCACTCTGTGACAGAAGTTGTTGGATGATGAAATGAATGAAGAAGTACTTTTGGGTAACTAATGGAGATCACTTGGTTTCCAGACACCTTGCTGTACAAGGCATGTACAATCTAGGTTCATGAAACAGCTGGCTGCAATTCAACCACATGGGAAAGTTATATCTGAAACCTGGAGAGCTGGTTTTAAGGTCTGAGGCAGGTGACTTACAAACTAACATCCTGGATGACACAAAAGAGGCAAGGGAAAGCCAGGAAACAGTTTGACGAATGCACACAATTATAGGTTTCTAAAGTGTAGATCTACAGGGTGTCATACAGTTCTAGCATAACACATGGCTTCCCTTTGCATGTACCCAGTGGGCAGAGTCTGGCATTTCTCAGTTCCAACATTTTTGACACTATGGGCGAGTAATTTTTTTTTACTTTAAAAATTCCATGTATTTGAAAATTAAATGTCCACTTTTCAATGACGGGTGTATCTAAGAAGCCATTACAAGGAAAATTAGAAAATATTTGTAACAGAAAATAATAGAATTTTATATCACTAACACTGCCATTTAATATAAAAATCTATAATCACTTTTTAACATCCAGATGCACATTGGAATTTTTTGAAAACTATAAATACCCAGGTATTGTTTTGCTCCAAAGCTCCAGATGTAATTCCAATGAGCAGCCATGTTTAAAAACAAGGTTTTTAATTTGATCTTTTACTTTTATCTAGCCTGTTTCACTTTTTCTGTTTCATGTTCAGTGCTCCCATTTCATTTCATTTATGGGTTGGGCAATTCCTTACTGTGGGGGTCTTCTAGTGCATTGTATAATGTTTGCCAGTATCCCTGGTCTTCACCCCTAGATGCCAATAATAGGATCCATCACTAGTTTTGACAACCAAACCTGTCTCCAGGTATTACAAATGCACCCTAGACTGCTGGTCATGTGGAATAAAAATCAGATCTCACTGGGAACCACTGATATAATTAAATGGCACCTGACTAAACAGTAATAAATCCCCTTGGATCTTTTTTATGTGATGAGTTCTGCTCTAAATCTGCAATATGAATTTGAATGCAAATCTAACATCTATACAGCAAAAATTTCGAATCAGTTTCTAATACGTAGTAGGTATTCAACAAACACATATTTAAAAACTTAATAACCCCAAGGAGTAATATGTAAGAAGAAATGTACCCAATGGTGCAAAGAAGCATTTTAACCACTTGGTGGCAGAAAATTCTAATTTATATTTGTTTTGATGTACGGCCACTAAAATAGACTGAGAAGTCGAAGCGATTCAGCGGGCAATATGAATAGCATTTAAACCTTAGTGATTTGGACATTTACAGATGTTACTGATGTATAATATGTGATGGGAGTGAGGAAGGGGGTTTGATGAGTGGAAGCAGGAATGATTGGGTGTGAGCTCTATACCTGACCAATATGCAAATATACACTCTAGTTCTGAAGGAAGCACCGCCTGCTCCTTTTTTTTCATACCTTCTACCACATTTCCTGCATTCTTTATGTTGTCTTTCTTTCACTTCCTAGTAATTAGTTTGATATTAGCATTTTTTATCTTGCTGCAGCTTCACTGTAGGATGGGAGTGAGGAATACTAAATAACTGTTGTTATTTATTAAGTGGAACAAGCAAGCTTCAGTCTTTGGAATTTTTTATATTTGGACATAGCAACAGTTCTGAGAGTTTCCCACTCTCCATAAGCATTGAAGGGTCTGAGGCTGGGATCAAAGCAATGAACTGAAAAGGTATAGGCAATATGATCAGTCAGCAATGGGTGCTGAAGTGTGGGAAGGAAGCCATGTGGTACAGTGCTTGTAAAAACTCTTACTTTGGAATCAAGTAGATGTGGATTTGAATTCTGGCTCTGGCACATGTCTGAAATGGGACTTTGAGCAATTCATTTCACTTTTGTTATCCTCAGGTTTCTCATGTATAAAATAGGGAAAATAATATAACCTACATCCTAGAACTAATGTGAGGATTAAAGAGATAAGTGCTGTAGAATATGTAGCTTGACATACAGTTGATGTTATACAAGTGTCAACAACTATTTTTACTGTATAGAAGGGTAAATATCTACTTTGTGACTTTAGACCTGTTTCATGATTAGTGTGAATCTGTTTTTTTGT